GGTCAGATTTTCTTTTGTTTCTCATTGCTTTCTGTTTCCCGTTTACTGCAGACCCTGTGGCAAATCAGGGATGGAGGGGAAATTTGTCCAATATTGACAAAGGCAACAATTAAAATACTTTACTTACTGCACTGGAGAAGGGTTAGAACCTTTGTCATATCCCTTTTAAAGAGCTATCTTCTTACTCCCTGCTCTACTAATGGACATTTCAGTGATAGAAAATAAGAAGTCTCCCAAGTGAGAACACAGAAATCAAAAATAGGCGAAGATCCTTCCACATTCTATCAGAACATGAAGGGAAACCTAGAACATAGTTAATACTTACCTTTCCTGCTCCCTTCACTGCTTATCTTCATGCTTTACTGCTACCAAAGAACCTTCTGCATCTGACACTCTTTTGGTTATGTTGGATGACTGGTTCCCTGATGCCATTGTGGTTCTTTGCATTGGCTCCTAATGTATGTCACTACTGTCTCCTGTAGCGGCATATGCGACAGTGGAAGGAACCACAGAGCTCAGAAGGAGACTAGGCATATAACTCTCCTGGAATTATTCTTTGGGTGCTGGATTTCAAGGACTTTGGGTGCTGGAGTCACGAGGTTCATCTGAGATAATATGAATATGTCCCTGAAGACATATTTAAGAAACTGCTGCCCCGGAAAATCTGTTTGCTGATGTATTATTTCTAATCACAATTTTTTGGGCACTTGTCCATCACTGTCCAAAGCCTCGGGTATCTATAAGTGCTACAGGCATTTGTCAATACTGAATCAGGGAAGGAGGCACATGTGTTGGGACCACAAGGAACCTGGTCCATGCTTTAGGATTAGGAGCAGCTGCATCCCCCAGAGAGATAAAATAGCTGCAGGAAGGATGACTTGCTGGGAAACTCTACTTGTTAATATTGCAATAATTGCTTTTATTTATCTGATTATTATGTGACACTATGAAATTGATATCAATCCTAGCAATGTGGTCATGGAGTTTCAATGAAGAAAATTAGAGGTTAATGTGAAATGAAAATGTGACATGATTATGATATAATTTCATATACAGTGTCTTATACCATTCCAGTATTATATTCTTACTTTAGGATCATGAGTCATGAGAATTGATTTTCATACCAGAAATCATACAAGGATAAATGACACCCTACTCCTTTGAGTAAACTCATATTTTTGTCCTTTGTCTTTTAGGTGTTTCCAATGCTAAGTAAGAATTAGGACAGAAGGAGCAGGATGAAAATATGGCAGTCCTGTTGTTGCCACCAAGTCCTGACATCTTCCGCCGTTTCACCCCAGAATCCTTGGCTGCTATTGAGAAGCGTATTGCTGAGGAACAGGCCAGAAGCGCCAAGCAGGAATACCGAGAAGGAGAGAACAATGAGAACAGTGAACAGAAACCAACACCACATCCCGACTTGGAGGCCGGTAAACAGCTGCCTCGTATCTATGGGGACTTTCCTTCAAATCTCGTTGGACAGCCCCTGGAGGATATCGACCCTTACTACAAGAGCAAGAAGGTGACACCAGACAGGAATGCAGCTTTTATCTCCAGAGGAGAAACAATGGTCAAACTGTATTGTGCTTAAGAAAAGTAGAAGATAGTCTCTTTTATTTTAATATTTAGAACAACTTATCTTTATATGCCTGCTGATGCACATACACAGAGGATGCAGGCATTGTATCTCCTGGCCAAACATATAATTAAACTTAGACCCTAAGTTTTAACTCCTTGGCTGTATACTATGAATACATAGCCACTCATATGGTTACCTGCAGACTTGTAGTAGTAACTGTGATCTAAGGTCATTTATAGGTTTGGATAACTGTTACAAGGCTTAAATGAGAGTGTTGATAAATGACAACTTTTCTTGTCAGAATATGGTATAAATTATTTTTAACCTGCTGACAAGGCACCATATAGCCAAAACACTCTTAGATCTACCACAAAGGCCAAATTTGGCAATTTTCATATTTCACAAGTTATTTTTTTTTCATTAACTGTATTTAATCTTTATGTTACAAACAAAAATATAATATAGAGTTTCCCCATGTCTCTGACTGTCCTGAGCATGCTGTACTTTCTAACAAGAAAGCCCAGCACTAGCTCTGCAGACTGCTTCTGCACATTGAAGGTCCAGAAGTGTACTGCCTTGTCGTACTAGTGAGTAGACATGTGCACTGCCAAAAAATTTGTTTCGTTTCGTTTTAAATTCGGATTTGTGTTATTTAGTTTTTCAGGATTCGGGTGTGAAAGTGAATTCGGATTCGGACGAAATTCGGTAGCGTTAGTACGAACGTTCGTTTCGTTTTCTGTTCTTATTCGTTTCTTATTCGTTTCTTATTCGTTTCTTATTCGTTTCGTTCGTTTGCAGCAAAAGTGACATTTGAGGGGGAAAAAATATTTTTCTCCTTCTCTAATGTCACTTTGCTCCAACGAACGAAACGGATAAGAAACGAATAAGAACAGAAAACGAAACGAACGTTCGTGCGAACGCTACCGAAATTTCGGAAATGGAAATTCGGATTCGTTTGCATTCGTTATGTCTGTAATTCGGAATTCGGATACATCCGAATGTCCGAATTTACGAAAATTCGTCCGAATTTCGATTCGGAACGAAACGAATCGCACATGTCTA